TCATGGATGAGCGAGAAATAGGTTATTCTAGATCTGTTGTTTCCAACCATTATTTCTCTTGTTTGCACTCTCTTATAAAATATTTTACATAGAAATAGGTTATCTCTACATTTAGCCAGTGAATGACTAATTGTACGATGATAGTCACACCCAAGTATTTGACTCATTAGTTGGTGCATTATTCCCTTACTTAAAAAGTAAAGTTCGAATCCCCCCTCCCCCAATTATAAAAAAAAAACTATACGATGACAGTCATAATACTTTGGATTGGACTTTTCTTTTGTTATCGTCATCCAAGCCAGTGATTTTTAAAGTTTTTACAAACTTCATGACATGTTCTTAGGCATCACTAGCCTTGCCATTGAATTGTTAGAATTTTAGACTAGTGTAATCTTTGGGGTATGGCTCAGCAACTACCTTGGCAAGATAAGGTAGTTTAAGGTCAAACTTTGAGAAGTTGAGACTCTTGTTTTTCTAATTGAGCAACTTCTCCAACTCTTCCTCTATGACAAAACTCTGAGCATTAGTGGAAAAAGTTATCGTACGGTTTGTAGGATATTAAAAGAATGGCAATGAAGTTGAGTAGTGGGCATAAGTTTTTGGTAATAGAATAGTCACTTGATAGTGCACCACATGTATTCTTAACAAAGTAAGAAAAAGGGATAAAGCACATGTACTTCAAGGAAAGGTTAAAAAGAAGTTCTCTTAACAATCTTCATATCTGAGCCAAGCTTTCTAAAACATCTCAAATGTAAAGGTAACTCATAAACCTTGCCACTTATTTTGAGTTGCTTTCACTTTCCCGTACAAACAACTGTTTCATGATTATTCCTAAGTGTTTCCATGCTTGTAACACTCTAAGTGCTCTCACACTGGGAACGTCCTTGGGCACTTCCACACTCAGAACACTCCTGGGTGCTTCTACGTTTTAAACACCTCTAAGTGTTTCTGCACTTAGAGCACCCATGGCGATTTCGTGCTTGGAGCACCTTTGGCGCTTTCACACTTATAACGACCTTGGGCATTTTTGCTCTTGGAACACTATTAGGAGCTTTTACAATTAGAACACCTTTGGGTGTTTCCGCACTTGGAACACTCTTGGGTGTTTTCATACTTGGAACACCCCTAACACTTCCGCACTTGTAACGACCTTGAACGTTTTTGCGCTTAAAACACCCTTGGAAGCTTCCGTGCTTGTAATGACCCTGAGCGTTTCTACGCTTGAAATACTCTTGGACACTTCCGTACTTAGAATACCCTTGAATGCTTCTGTGCTTAGAACCCCCTTAATGTAATTTGTCTGTAACATAGTGCTTCAAAATAGTTAACTAAAATTGGGGATCTATAACTGCAACATAAATACCAACCAAGAAGTAGACAACGAAATCCCCAATTACACAAAAGCTAAAAAGAAAAGTGTGCAGCTACCAGATAACCAACCTACTGGTGTTAGAACCCAGAATGTATGACTTCTTTCAAGAACTAACAATACAAAAACAAACAATAAACATGACTACGCTCTGGTATAAAACCCTTACCATACAAGTGGAAAACAGTCCTAAGCAAATTACTTACTAAAGTCGAACAAAATCTACAAAACCCAATGAGACATCAAAGCAAGAAAACCAGCAGGAAGCTAATGAAATTGCATTTATGAGGGATCTAGATTTAGGGAGAACAGAGCACTATCAAGATAAACCATGTGAGCTCTCGCAATCTGTAATTTATGAATTTTTCCTGACAAATCTAGCAAGTTGAGAAACAGTCATTGCAATGCCGAAGATAATGATGGAATTCAAGCCAATTTTCCTATATGAAGCTGAATACATGGCACTACACTGATTCCCCCTCTATTAATGCATCATGGTTAGCACTAGAACATAGTGATCAGGATAGAAGTACCAAGTCTAATTCCATTTTATTTAAAACACGCCATTTCCTGAGACATGGCCATATTGGTGTGTCACAACCTGCACAAGATTAGTATAGTTTTGCAGCACCTTGGGATACTATTGTTTGAATAGGTACATCTTATGGTCTTTATCCTGTAGTGTTCACAATAATACTAAACCTAAATAAATGTAAGAGCCCATTTAAGATCGAAAATTCATCGCATTCACTTGGGAAACACATATCCCAGGCAAAATGAGAGGGACCAGAGGCAAAAGCTCAGAGACCTTAACAGAGAGTAATAGGAAATGAGTGTGTATGAGAGAGCGATTTTCAAGCTCTACCCTAACTGTTGTAGATTTCTAGGGAATACTCCAACCTCTTAATTAATCTAGGCAGCTTTATGATGGCCCCTAAGAGTAAGAGATTCCCCCAATTGAATGAGCAAACAAAAGAAATCCTGATCCAGTGATGAATTCTCTACAAAAAAAATATATAATTTTTTAACACTTACAGGTTAGTAAGCCTTATGGCTGGATTGATAAATATAACTGAAAGAAAACAAGAAAGCATAACAAGAAAAGTGTAGAAATGTTTGATTTCATTTCAAAGTGGTGGATTCCAACAAAAACTCACATAACAACTTAAATAATATCAAAGCATTGTCAAGAACAACACTAGGAATGTATAAACTACCACCAAATGCCGTACCACTTTGCTTTACTACTCCATTGTTATAGCTTTATGTACCCTCTTCAATTTTTGACACTTCTTCATTTAGGTGAGCCACATCATAAGTGGCATGAAGACCAACAAGCAGGTAATATACTAGCATTACTGCACTGCAAATGATAAACCTCAAAAATGCCACAAAACCCAAAGATCCTATGAGAAACAAGTTCATCACAATTGACAAAGATGGCAACCAAGGAACCAGTGGAACTCCCCAAACCTTTGGAACACGCTGCTTGGAAAGAAATGCCAACCCCAAAGTCCCCGAGAACCATAGCAGTCCAGCCGCTGTGTACCCAATCCATCCTCTCTCATGAGAATTCCAAAGTGCTGAAGCTCCAATTGAAGAACCAATAATAGTGAACAGACATGTGAGAAATTTTGTCAATTCATTCTTTGGAGTAACATCCTTCACATAATATCGCCTTACAAGCAATGCAGTACCTATTAGCATAAAAATGAAGAGTGTACTAAAAGATAAAACACTCGACAAAACATCTAAACTAGAAAAAAATGCAACAATAGAACTAATCATTGTCACCAGCAGGGTAGCATTAACAGGAGTTCCAGTTTTGGGATGAACCAAAGCAAAAATAGGAGGAATCATATGAGCTCTTGCAATCTGAGTTGTGTATCGAGCTTGTCCGAGAGACCCAACCAACAAGCTGGTAGTCATTCCCTTGAGTGCACATATACTGACCAAATACTTGGCCCATTTCATTCCAATTTGGTCAAAAGCAACAGAATATGCAGCATTTACATCAATCTCAGTATACTTCACCATCATGACCAATGCTAAAGCCATCAAGCAATAAACCACAGTAATTCCAGACATTGAACCAACCAACCCAACTGGTATGTCCCTCCGGGGTTTCTTAGTTTCCTCAGCCATGTTTGCCACCATATCAAAACCTGTATAAGACCAATAAACCACAGCAGCAGCCTCGAAAACCCCTTCTGCCCCAAATGGAAAAAATGGTTCCAGATTTGAAGTTTTCGCATGAATAAACCCAAAAATTATAACAAAAACAATCACCGCACCACTAACCAAAGAACTAATCCAATTCAACCAAGATGTCCTCTTAGTTCCACTCATTGCTATCCCATTAGCAACCAAAAGAACCAGAACTGCAAGTGGGTCTAAAAGATTAAACCCTTTAGGCAAAGAATCAACCTTAATTCTCAAAAAATCAGAATCATTATTAATCATACTAGCAAAATAAGATGACCATGATCTTCCTAACCCTGCAGCTCCGACTAAAGCTTCCAGAAGAATATTACCAGCAGCAATAAATGCAATAAAGTCACCTAATTCAATACGAAGATATGAAAATGAACCACCAGCTACAGGAATCTCAGCTGCAAACTCAGTGTAACAAAAAACTGATAACAATGCTGAAAGCCCAGATATCGCATAGGATAAAACAATAGCTGGACCAGCATTGACATGAGCTTCCTGACCTGTGATGACAAATATGCCCGAACCAACAACTGAGCCAAAGCTTAGCCAAATGAGGTCCCACCAGGTTAGACACTTCTGCATGGGGTTTTCACTTACTTTTTGAAGGGTTACAAGCTCGTTGGTTGAGGAGGAACGGGCTAAGAGACGGTCAGTGAGGCGAGGGCAGGTTTGGGAAAGTGCTGTTTTGTAAGATGACATGGTTTGGAATGAGGTTTCTGGGAAGAAGTCTTTTTTTGCTCCATCTCCAGTAGCTTCTTGTAGCTGTCGAAGAAGTTGCTTGCGCTTCATCCATGGAGATTCAAAGATCAGGAACCAAAAAGCATAGACACAAACAAAAGAGAGTTTGGTTTGTTAGAGTTGACCCAGGAGATCTGGGACAGGGAAGAGGAGGTGGAAACAGAGTAGATTAGAGTTTGTCGTATAGCTAACAATAAGCAACGTGAAGAAGAGAGGGAGCGTGGCGAGGGTTGGGATCAGCTTGCGTGGATGGAGTTTGGTAGGAAAAGGAGATTCACTGGAAGCAGGACTGAACGACACAGAATTTATTAACTAGCTGGGCTGACAACTCCAACAGGAAATCAACTAGCTGCTTGCTGGTCTGGTCTAACAGTCTTTCTGTATTAACGGCATTCTTAATGGGCCAACTATTAACACAGGCTCGTATGAAATTTAATCGCTTGAAACAAAATGTCATGAGAAGACTATTGAGGACCAATTATTCTACATACCAATGCTTGATTAATCATCTTGCAGAAAATCATGAATCACCTCGAAGATGGAAGAAAATCAAATGAGCATGAGCTGTATTCATTATTTCCATAATCAATATACCAATGCTTGATCAATCATCTTGCAGAAAATCATGAATCTCCTCGATGATGGAAAAAATCAAATGAGTATGAGCTGTATTCATTATTCCATAATCACATGAATAATCTTGAGGTGAATATTTTTCCATAACAAGTTGAACCAAATGACTATGAGCTGTATTCATACTTTGTAGCACTCTTATCTTCGACAGTGAAAATAATAAATGACAAAATGAATGTAATAGGTTCCATATGGAAAGAATCTGTTTTCAAGGTATAATCTCTAACCAAGCTAAAGTGCTCCCAAGTGCCAAGATGTTCTGATCTAATTAGTGAATCAAGGGCCTCTCACAAGCACCACATCTTTCCAAATTAGCAGTTTTAACGCTAGATGCAGCTTTTGAGTGCAATGATATGAAGAGGCAGAACAACAAATACTAAGAGTAGGCGTGGTTTCAGCCTTCTATGATCCTCTCATAAAAAAGTAAGCTTGCTTCTGCAGCTAAAACATCCTTCTCTGAGACCCTACATACTTGAGAATCTGAAATGCAGAACCACTGCATTGTAGAGGGCTCCGAGTATTCATCAGAATCTTCCTCATCTGATTCGGCTCTCATAATTCTGTAAACAGTATAATGCCCACCTCCAACTCTCCCAAAGTGCTCCACGACTGAAACAAGCTGGTATAATTTAGTTTCTGAAGGAGGTAACTTGCTAGTCAAACTCACCTGCATCAAGAAATTAGGATACACGTCAGATATAGACAATCATCGAATACACCATCAGCTCTCAGCCCGATAAAAATCTTTGTATGTTATGCCCAAATGCATCTCCAAATCTACAGTATAGCATATATTAAGTAGATTGGTAAAACACATTTTGTTTTGAAATTTCATCAACAAGAAACTTTTTTTATCTGAAGCCAAGTTCAGACACAAATGCTTAGATGCAAGAAATGAGTCATATTTCTCTAGAAACATGTTTACAGTGCTAAGCTGGAATCTTTCTCATTGTGTAAACGTCAATAAATGCATGACAAACAATTATCAGCATAAGTAACCATTCATGCAATGCTGCAAAGAACTTTGAGAAATTGTTTCCTTGACACTTGATTCATGCAGCAATTCTCAAATTTAATAACAATTTCACATTTTTTTCAATGATGAAAAGAGCAAAAGAAATAATACTTCTTGCTGGCAAAAACATGCACAATAATAAAATCACCTTAAAATGAAGCAGCATTTGAAAGAAGGTAAGAAAACAGAGCAAATCTACTAAAAAAAATGCAACAAACGAAGTGCTAGCTTTGGATACTTATGGTTCTAGCTCAAAATTTAAAGAAAAGCCTCCACTGCTGATTAAAGTACAGGGAAGATATGTAGGCAAGCTGCTGTTGAGCATCATCCCACAAATGCCAAACTGTTAAATCCTCACCTTAACAGAATTTTCAAGGCATGCTTTTAAAGCATTAAAAATTATCCATTTAGTGAACCAACAAAAAAAGTTATATAACATATGTTGCTCAAAATATCATAACAACCTACACATGTCCAGATCAGTAATTTTTCAACCAACCTTATCACCATGTTGCTCATGCATGTTTGTGTTTAAGGCCTTTGAACAACCATCAGTTTGGGGCAAGTTGGACTTCCCTGGAAATGATTCTCCATGCGAAGTACATTGAAAGTCATTTGCAGCTAATATTTCAGAAGAGATCTCTCCCATTGGTTTACTGAAGTGATTGAAAATGGTTTCAAATTGCAAATTGATAAGGTTGAGACAAGGACTTGGCTTTTGATTTTGCAGCTTCACTTGCCCTTTTTTGACTCCTCCATGGTTCTTTATTTCCACCTTGCTAGTCATGAATGGGGACAGGTCTAAAATCAATGGGAAAGGAATATGGCCCTGCAATCATTAAGGCAGCCCTTCACTATTATGACAAAACCATTCTCATATCAATTTCAGCAAAGAATATGTACAAGGAAGATAGACTTCTGTGAAGAGACAGAATGCAGTCAGACTTCCTGATCAGAATTAACAGGCAAGGAAATTACCTGAAGCTTGATTAGTTCCCCAAACTCATTTATTGAAGCACGTTGTAGATGAATGCATAGAATCTGCAAGTGTATGGTTGAAAAATAAGCATACTTGGAATTGAACAACAAATTCATTCAGATAGTTTCTGACCCTAAATTAGTTACAAGAATAATTAATTTACTGTTGACACTTTAGAAGCCATTGGATTCTGTTTCAAGCAATAGAGTCTTCAATATTCATACCTTTGGACAACGAGCAATGCTTAGCTGCTTTAGAGTACATGAAAAGTTATTTGACCAGGGTAGCTTTTGAAGACAAAGAAAACTTCGACAGTCACAGGAGTCTTGTGCACTGCATCTCTTCAACCTTTCAATCTCCATCTGAGATCAAATGTTGGAAGATGAACATGGAAGAATATGAAGCAACTAATTGCATCAAGATAACCAAGAAACTGAAGAATCAGACATAGGCAAGCACAACAAGAAATTCAGCAGATTGAAATCGACTAACCCAGAGAGAGAGAGAGAGAGAAACAAAAGCCTGTATTGCTAGTTAAAATCTGGACCAGTAGGAGTGTGAGGATGGTGTCAGGATAACACTTGATCTTAGGATATAGATGGGTATCATTAGAGTATACTACATTTAAGGATTTTATATTGGAGTTGATTTTCCATCATAGGATCATAAAATTACAATATTGGAATGAGAAGCTTAACAAATAAGGCACCATGATTATAATATTGTTATCAAGCAGATAGAAAACAAGCTAATATTTAAATCAAAAAAGAACATTACCTCATTTGCTCCAGTAGAAGATAAAGACTTTATTGCGGCAATGTGCCAACAATGGCTGCAGTAGTAGTTTTCAATTTGTTCAGCAATGACAAACTGCCTCAAGCAATCCTCCAAGGTACATCCAGCCATCTGGTGTTTTATAGTAGAAATTTGCACTAGAGTTACTAAGGGTGAGCTGTATAAGAAAATTGTCATGAAGCTAAGGGCTTAAACATACATAATATTAGTAATACTGTTAAAGAGCAAAACCTTTAGTTAACATACAATGGTAGAACCACCATAGAGCACTGGCAAAAGGGGCAAGCTATGAAAAAATTGAAAGTCCAAAGAAATCTGCAAAGAAAAAATAAATAAATAAAAATATAAGATAAAAAAAAAGTATAGGAAATACCAAAAAGAAAAGGACAGGTTAGATAAAAATTTCATTAACACTTTTTCCATTCCAGATTCTCAAATGTGGCTACATCATAAAAAATTCAAGAAAATTTAGAATCACCAATTCAAAAATGTTCAAACATAGCATAGCAATGGTTTTTCTTACACAAACAAAAGCAAAGGTAGAAACTTTTAAGATGTGTTCTACAAGGGAACAGGAACCTGAGATGAACAACTCTGACAAGTTAAAATGCTACCAATAATGCCATCAAATGGTCCAAGAAAGTGTTGCTGCCATCTTTCCTGTTCACTCTGATCCTCCTTCTGTGGAGTTAGAATCCTACCAGTTTGAGACGCAAAAGCATCCGCTAGAGTACTCTGACTGGGAAGATAGATATCTGAAAATTCTTCTCTTAAGGAAGTCAAAAGATGGAGAAATGCTTCTTCTGCATCCTACACATAGCACATATGAGATAAATTACACTCTAGATAGTATTAGACAGTTTTGTTAAAATATTGAAAACACAACTGCACCTGCTGGCTTGTTAAATCAAAATTTTGAATATAAAGCGCCAATGCACGCATAACTTTATGTGGACTTAATGCAATTCTTCTTTCTCCAGCCATACCTAATTCTGCAAGAATGGAACATCTATAGCTCATTTTTAGATACCATGATCATATACCTTGGTTATTAGAGATAACAAGTGAATACCTAAAGGCAAAAGTTGAGAGCATTCAAATATACATGAATAGTTTCTAGTTTCTATATCATGTTCTGTGATATAGAAACTCTAAAGAAAGCAAAACAGTTCGCAAAGTTCTCATGTTACCTTCTAAGAGAGCAGTTAAAGCAATTGTAAGCGGCAAATTTTCATCCTGTCCCTCAACCGGTGACGATTTACATTTGTCTAGTATCTTCTGGAGAAAAGACTGAAAATATGAGCAGCTAGCCAGAGCCTGAAATATTGATTCAAGAACCCAAAATGAACAGCATTTTACAATACTCTTCCTTGAATGAAATAGGCATCCAGAAAATGTTCAGAGGAAAAAAAAAGAAAAAAGAATAAAAAAAAGACCTCTGTGGTTCTGTTTGCTATATGGAAAAAATGAAAAAAAAAATACAGATAAAGAAAAATAATGAAACTCTCTTTTAAGTGGAAATGTAAAGCCTAAAAGTCAAAATGAAACTATTTTATTTCCTATTTTCGCTTGTATTTTCCTTAGCAACCACACAAAAAAAAATACCCATTTGCTAAAAGGAATCATACCTGCAATATTACATTCAAGAAACAGTTATTGCCAAGATTTTGCAACCCAGGAACCAAGCATAACTTCTCCAAATGATTCTTTCTCTTTTCCCCTGCTTTACCATCTCTTATTATAGCCAATACAAAACCAACAACTCCCACTAAACCAACCACTGATATATGAAACCCAAAAGCAGAAGCCCATCTCATATGCAACAAAGCTCTATAACCATGTTTCCAATTGCAGATTATTGCCCTTATACTTGTGTCTCGTTCCATTTCCATCATATTACTGACACAAAGGCCTACAAGATAATGCTGAAAAAAGGGAAACAGAAAATAAACTTCAAGAACAGAAAGGTGAAAACCTAAAATTGAAATTTTAATACAAACTATAACATAAACTCTGAGAATAAGATGATGTGGTAGGCCTAATTCAGGAAACATTTTGAGAACAATTGTAGGAATTTGTATTCATAGACAAAAACATAAACATAAAAGAACCCTTCAAATGGTGGATTACTTGACTTCAATCTTTCAAAAAAAAATGGTGGATTAATTGTAAGTTCTATCAACACCTATTAGAACCTGCAAACTTGAATTTAAGGCCTAAAAAGAAGAGAAGTTAGAATATAAAATGATTCACCACGAATGAAAGTTCTCAACAGAATACATGCATATACACATATCTTAAAAACTTATTAGTCCCTCATAATTAATAGAATGCAAAATCTTGCACAGCCATCTAAATGCTCAAATTCAACAACAAACAAACAAATTTGTTTAACCAAGTACAGCAATTCAAGTATTGACATCTAAACCGACAACCACATAACTAACATAGAATTCAAGTCCGCCTAGGAATACTTTTCAAACACATTGAGCGTGATTAACAAACTTAAATTAATTTCCATGAATTCTGATGCACGCCCAACAAACCAATAGGGATGAAAGTTGCACATTTATAAAAAAAATCAACTCAATCTATAAAGTCAATAGCAAACAAAGAAACCCTTCTGCAAGAACTCATAAAAAAACTGTTATAAGCCAAAGTAATAATTCCATCTAATCAGGCTACTCAAATTTCAACAACTAGTCAGTTTAAGTCCAAACCAGTAAACTACAAGACTTTTGTGTTGGTGAAGGAAAGTTTAATAAACAGGAACTTAATAAATGAAGAACGAAAGAAGAAACCGTACCAGGGGCCAATCAATAACCAAGTTGGAAGACTTTGGGGTTTTGGGTTTTTTGAAGGATGGAAGGAGATAGGTTCAGAATAAGAACAATAAAAGAAGAAAAGAGTAAAGCTAAAACAAAAATGGGCTACGGAAGCTTTGGTGGCAGCTGAGACAGCAACAATGGATGACAATTGCGCTGTTGAGCGGGAAGTCAGACCGCCATTGAGCGACCCAAGGTAGCCTTTCTCTAGTTTTGATTTTTTTTTTTTTTCCCTTGAGTGTTGGGTTTGGGCTAAGAGTGTAATTTTATTTTTTCCAGTCTAAACGAGTTTTGAATTATTTTTTAAAAAATTATTTTTTATTATATTTAATTAAATTTTATATTTTTATTTTAATTTAAATAATTTTTTATAATTAATTATTAATTAATCTTTACTAGTAAAAATATCACATGTTATTGACGTGGATAAAAAAAATATTATATGATTATATTAACACATCACGTCAATATCACATGATTCAGAATGATAAATAATATTTTAATTAATAATAATGAATTAACTATTAATTATAAAATTTTATATGAATCAAAATAAAAATAAAATTTTATTTGATTTTCTTAAATAATTTAGAGTTTTTAAGATATTATGTCCTTTTTATTTTGCTAAAAAATGGCTTAAAGATTTGAGATGAATATTTGGCGAATTCATGACCAATTGTTTTTCCACCAGTTTTTGCAATTTTAATTTGAAATTGTATTAAATTCATGTTATTTTGAGTTTAGATTATTTTTAATTTAAATCATTTTAAAATTTAATTTGTCTCAATTTTAAGTAAATTTTAATGAATTTTGAGTCATTTTAAAATTTCTATTGGTTAAAGACATTTTTTGAATTCGAACGCGACAAATAATTTCATTTTTTTATAATCAATGTTAAATCAATATCATAGATTAATATAATAAATTTAAGATAAAAATGTAATAATATTTTAAATTTTAAAAAAGTTAAATATATGTATAAATATAAATGATACTATATCTATTTATACACTCATTGAGTGATTTTTATTTTTATCTTTTTTTCATTATAATTTTTTAATAATATTTTAACTTTTCAAGAATTTATTCTTACATTTATTTTTTTGTGTTTGGACATAAATTATAGACATTAACGTTATATATGATCATATAGACAAATATTCAATTGTAGTGTTGAATAATATATAGCCATTATTACAAAGAGTACCAATTAATACTAATTTAATATGAACACAATGTAATAGTATAATATTTGCTAGTTAGCCTTGCCATGATAAAAAAAAACATTATGTTAAAATTAATTGATATAATATTGTTCTAATTTTAATATTTGATTTTTTTGCATTTTGATGTTGATGTAGAGTAAAGATGTCCTGGCTTGAAAATTAACTCTCTAAATTTAATTGATCAATTAATTTGTATAACATTAATTAAAGTTTGCAACAATAAAAAATCAATAATCATGATATTGAAAATTAATTAACATAATATTATTTATTTTTTTTAACGTTTGATCATGTGGGCACTAACATACAAAAAATAAGAATTAAGATATCTATTATTTTTGCTTGAAACAACTTAATAAATCTAAATGTTTAACTGATCAATTAATTGATCTTATTGCTGTTATAAATTATAAGAAATAATAACATTCAGAAACTAAAATTAATTGATATTATATTAAATCAATATTAACATTTGGTCATTTTGGCATTAATCATGAAAACGGAGTTTTATTAGTTGATTTAAATTTTAAGACTTGATTATGAATAATATTATATATAATTATGAATAATATTATTTTTCAAAATTTAAAATTTTCATTCAAGAAAAAAGTTTAATCATTTGTTTATTTACTTGTTCTTGACAAAAATTATTTAATTATGAATTGCATCTTTTTAAAATAACTAGTTTTCTAATGAGTTTATGGTCAATCTCATTCAAATTGTTGCAAGTTTGGGTCACTTTAAGTTCGAGTCACTTTGGATTCGAATTTTTTCATGCTATGTTTGATGCAGTCCGAGTTCGACTTTGGATCGGTTTAGGCAGGTTTTCAAGTTAATTTGTTTAAGATGTTATCACATTTACTAAAAACACTTACTTAATGTGTTATTTATAAAAAGTATTGTATTAAATGCAAGTAATTAAGATAATAAAATTTTAATGCATCAAGAGAAATTTTTATTTAATATAGTAACTAGTAACTTTTAAAAGAGCCTTACGGCACTTGTTAACTAAACTCTTTTTTTTTTTTTGCTTTTCAAAAAAAAACTAAACTCTTTTTTTAAAAGAAATGCAATACTAGTAATATTTATAAATATATGTTTTTTTATTACATACAATTTTAAAAGAAAAGAGATTCATATCCGAGGACATTCATTATTGAATAAAATGTTGAATTGTAATTGCCTTTAAAACATTCCCTAACCAAAAAAAATATTGTGTTATTATTTTGATGATGAAATTTTCAGCTGTATTTATGAAAAAAATTCTTTAAGCAAGTTAATTTCTAAAATATGTGATGAATTTTTAATTTAATGATAATAATACATTAATTAAAAACTAT